GACTACAGGCATGTGCCACCATGCCTGGCTAATTTTTTCTATTTTTAGTTGTCCAGCTAATTTCTTTCTATTTATAGTAGAGACGGGGTCTCGCTCTTGCTCAGGCTGGTCTCGAACTCCTGAGCTCAGTCTGCCCTCGAACTCCTGAGCTCAGTCTGCCCGCCTCTGCCTCCCAGAGTGCTGGGATTACAGGCGTGAGCCACCGCGCCCGGCCTGATTGGGTTTTTTTGTCTTCCTTGCCCTGCATACTTATCTCCAGCTGTCGGGTTCTCAGAGCTTCACTCCTACTTTGGGGTGGTTTTGAGAGGAGGGTGTGGTGTAGGTTGTGCTGTAGGGAACATGAAGTCCCGTGGTCCGGGAGGCATTGCGTTGTCGTCGCACGGAGTGTCAGCAGAGTGGAAATAATGCACGGGTAGCTCTGTGTGTCTGTCAGAGGTGTGCCTCAGAGTGACCCCTAGTGTTGTGAGACCTTGAAGTGGGTAATAGCACTTCATTTATCTGCGCTCCAGTCTGATTACAACCTCTTTGGACTGAGCAGGGGAATATTTAAAAATAGCCTCTGTGGGACTTTTCCATTTCGTGTTTAGAAGGAAGTGCTGTCACGGTTGCCACAGAACATGGGCAGAAAGGAAGTGGTTGCTGCCGGGCTTGTCTCAAAGGCGCCTGGGGGCCAGGTCGGCTCGCTGTGTGCATGGAGCCCCACAGTCTGGTGTCACCGTGGGAGGCAGGCGCCAGGAAGCTCTGGTGGTCCGTGAGCATCGGTACAGCAGCCAGCTGTTGCCCTGGGTGTTCTAGCAGCGCTGGTGGGCTGCGTTGTGTCTCTAGGGCTGCACTCAAACGTTACTGGGGAGCGAATGTTTCTTGGGTTGAGACAGTGACTGTCGTCTGTGCAGTTTGGGCACCAGGCAGACACGCAGCGCCGGCTCGATCTGAAAATAGTCATAGGAGACTTGAGTGCTATTCTCTAAAACCACTGACATCAAGTGCTGGGATACTGTTTCAAATACATAGTTCTTCAAAGAGCTTTGGACACTTAGACTTAGCCCCTCTGAGAGAAGCCGGGGTGGCTCAGCATGGACATTTGTGGCTGGTGCTCCACCTGGCAGAGGCTGTTCCCCTGAGTGTCACCCCTGACTCTGTCAGTGGAAGAGTTGTCAGATTGGTGTTTCCGGAGCTGGAGGCATTTCTGCAGTGACGGCCCAGGAAGAGGCCAACGCAGCTCAGGGGACAGGGTGGCTAAGGATGGTGGCTGTGCTGTGTTCTCGGCCTGGTTGGCGTCTCTCTGGTCAGGCTTCAGGAGGTGGGCCGTGGGCCAGGCTCCGCTGCCCGGAGTGTTTGTGGGGAAGGTGATGAGAGCCGGTTTGCAGACTTTCCCGACCACGTTTGCAGGTTCCTTTCAGCCAGTGGCACTGGAGGACTGGAATGAGAACGTGGCCCTGCAGGTGATGTGAGTGTCTGCGCCGCCGGTGCTCAGCCCTCGTAAAGCCGCGCTGCACCTGAGCAGTTGTGATGCTGCCGATACTCTCGTCCCTCAGCGAAGCGCTTCTGTATCTGAGAGCAGAAGTGCAGAAACGAGTCACGGCTCGTTGTAGTCTTTTCTTATAGGTAGATCTAGCGAAAAACCCTAGTGCCGAGAGTGGGCACCATGTAATTCCGCAGTTGCTGGCTGGTTCATTTTGAGTTCTTTTGGTGGCAGGTGACAGAAAGCACAGTTAAAGGTGGTGTCAACTGAACAGGGAGGTGAGAGTCCTCACCTCCTCCCAGCTTTGTAGTCCAACAACACTGTGGCCCAGTATGGCCTCACTGGACTAGTGGCTGTGGCCAGGGAGCTGGTATCCTCTGGCCTCCTCTGGCTGGCCAGGCCTGGATCACTTGTGATCACTTGTGGCCCCCAAAGGCAGACTCAGGAGAAGGGGAGGAAGAGGGACACCCGCCAGCTGCTCCATGCTGGCTGGCAGCACACTCGCTGATGTGGGAGGAGACTGCTGTCTGTCCAGGGCTCTTTCCCCAAAAGATCTAATGAACTCCCAAAGGGGTGCCGGCTGGGTTGGCACAGCCCAGCACTCTCAAGCACAGCTGGGCCCACTATCTGGGTGTAGATGCTGGCTCTGACCCCAGCCCCGTCACCTGAGCTTAGCCTCCCTACCTGTGCGATGGGGTGGTAATAGCCGCGGCCTCCCCAGTCACCAAGGAGTGTGTGTGCGAGGTTCTGGGAACAGTCCTGCAGCACTGTGAGCCCATGGAGCGGAGGCGTCATGGCTGCTGCCCCCCGCAGAGACCTAGGATGGGGCTAGGAAGGAGAAGGAGCCACGGGTGTTGGGTGGGGGGCCTGCTGTAGGGAGAGAAGGGCAGCGAGGTGCTGGTGGTGGTCTCAGGCCCTGCTGGTGATGCCCATTGCTTCCAGGGGCATCCCTGGCTTGGAGGTTCCTGTTTCTGAAGGAGACTCCCTGTGACCCTTCATTTCCACACCCAAGAAATGCCAGGGGCTGTGGAGTGATCGCAAGTGCAGGTCATGGCTGCTGGTGTCGGTGGTCTCTGCCCTGCCCCTAAGTCACCCTCTCGACCTTCCCAAGGCAGCACCTGACACAGGTGCTTGTTACTCTTCTGACTTCAGTCTCCCCACCTCCGCCCTTTGGGCACCAACAGAGATTCTATGAGGATTTTTCTCTAAATCCTCTGCTTTAGGCTATTTTACTTCAACAGACCACAGAATGCTAACATGGTTTTGTGTGTTTGTTATTTCAGGAAAAATGGAAGTTGAAGATGTGTTCTGAATTTACATGTTTGAAACAATGTTGCAGGTCATTAGTTACCTTTTGCCTGGTGTTTCATTTAAAAAAATGGTTCTAGGTGCAGATAATCCTCCTCATTTCATTTTGAAAGGAAAGTGTATGGTCTGGCTAGGCCTTAGGTCGGTCAGCAGGCGGTGCACAGCTGCAGCCTGGCACTCGGTGGGGCTGGGCTGGGGGCCTCCTGCAGGGAGAGGGGGAGGGCCTGTTCAGGTGCCTGTTGCACCGTGGTGACACTCACACCAGGGACAAGAGGAGCCTGCATCTTCTCCAGAGGCCTGTCTTCTCCAACTGCTGCTCCCTCGGGGCTTAGCCAGGCTTGCCGGCTCTTAGGTTGGCCCTGGTGACGCGAGACAGCCTCAGAAGCCCGTCTCCCCTTGGCCTCCAGCTCCCTGGCTTTGTTCAGTGAGGAGCTTCGGCCAGGTGGCTTTGGGTTCGGGTTTTGTTTATGGGTTTTGTCGTGTCAGAGGCTGCCGTGTCTTTTGGGGGCAGCTGGACGAGGGCAGCAACTTCAGGTGTTGACTCGCGGTGGGCCCAAGAGTGTTCCTGTGCCGCGGCGTCCTTCTCGCTCACACTGAGGTCACAGAGCTGCCTCGTGTGGTGGGCCCACGTGTGGGTGACACTGGAGGGCGGGAGGGCACGGATGCGATAGTCTTCACTGTGGCCAGGACCAGACCCTTGCAGCGTGAAGGCTGTGAGGATGGAACCGTTCCATGTTCTGAAAGGACGTTGTCCAGATGGCACCGGAGGGTGGGGAAGGGGCCCCCACGGGCTGCACATCCGTGCTGCGAAGCCCGTTCCGCGTGGATGTGGTTGAGCTTCGTCTTCTCCCCTCCGAGGACTGTCGTCTGTGAGAAGAGGAGAGGGGACTTTGAGCCTGCGTCGGCCTGGGCAGAGCTGACAGGACTCCTGGCTACTCCTCTGGCTTCTCCTGCTCTGGCACTGCCAGCCCAGATCCGGGGCCTCAGTGGCCTGTCGTCTCTGGGGCAGGCAGGTGTGGTGCTTTTCAGGTAGTCAGAGATGCTGAGAGGAGGCAGGAGGTGGGCTAAGTTTCCGGTGAGGTGGAGGCGAGGTTGACTGGGAAGACAAGAAAACAAAGTATCGCAGCAGGGCTGGGGGGTGGTGACTCCGTGGCGCTGCTGAGAGTCAGTGGGTGTGTCTGCAGCGCTGGCCGCTCTTGCCGCCACCGCAGTGCCTCTGGGGCCAAGGAGCCCTGGGCCGTGTGCCCTGCACAGCTACCCAGCAGGTCTCACTCCCAGTGGACTCCCCCTCGCCTTCCGCTTGGCTGCTCTCCTGTGCTTTGTTTCCTGGCCGTGGCCGTGGCCTGCCCTTGCCATTGGTTCATTGGTTGAACTGGTGTGTCTTCTTCCAGCTACAAGAAGACTCAGGAAACTCTCTCACAGGCGGGACAGAAGACTTCAGCTGCCCTGTCCACGGTGGGCTCTGCCATCAGCAGGAAGCTCGGAGACATGAGGTGAGACACCCCCGCCCCGGCCTCGCTGCCCCGAGACCTGGTCAGGGACAGCGAGGTGTGACACGCTAGAGGCGCTGCAGGAAGCCTGCCTAGGCCTGGGGCTCAGAGGGACAGGCCCTGGGGGTGTGGCTGTGCCGGCCCTGGACCAGTCTGCACATGGACCCTTGTTTGGGGGGGAGTCATCTGCCTCCCGTTGGCTGCCTTTCTGCCATTCAATATGCCTCAGGGGAGGGGCCGTCGTTAGTGCGGTTGGGTAGCTTGGGGTTGGGAGGAGTCTGCTCCTTGCAGCTCCAACGAGAGGCAAGGACTCTGACCTGGGGTTCAGGGTGGGATGTCAGTCTGGGCAGGTCACCAGCCACCTCTAGGCGAGGTACTCAGCAGGGCATTTCCTCAGGGATATTTGCCTGCCCCAGGTCTCTGAGAGTATGCAGACACCAGAAGGCCCCAGCTTGGAGTGTAATTTCCCAGAGGCTGGTAGAACCTTCTGGTCATCAGAGGTGCCTCAGTGAGCAGGACAGGGGCCAGGGGCCAAGACGTGAGTGGAGAAGCCAGGCACTTCGTGGCCACATGTAGCAGCTCCCACCCAGCCTGATGGGCCAAGCACATTTGCCCGGCATTCCCTGCTCTGGGCTCTCTGGCCACACGAAAAGACCTCCTCTGACACGCAGCAGGTGATGAGGGGATTGCGCCCCGGAGTCAGAAGCCTTAGTGTGATGCCTGTCCGTGCTGCCTCCTGGCCGTGTCTCAGGCAAGACCTCCCTCATGGGGTGTGAGGGCCAGGTGACAACCAGAGTGTGGGTCGTCACCATCATCAGCAGCATCCTGGCTCCAACCCCCACACTCAAAGATGGTTCCCTCACTTTCAGACCTTAGGGAGTGCCTCCCTGTAGCCCCCACCCCATCCTGACAAAGGCGGTTTCTAGGCTTTGGCCCCTCATAGTCGAGAATCTGCCGGTGGTGCCCCAAGGACCAGGCGTGCTGGGCGCCCTGTGGGCCTTTCCCCTCTTCCCTTCTGGTGGCTCTGCAGGACTCAGCGACGTGTGTGTCTCTCCCTGGGCTGAACCCCTCTGTGCCTGCTTCCGGTTAAGCGTGTCCCGCCTCCTGGCTTGGGGTGGCCTGATGGGGCCTCAGGCTGGGGGGCTCTCCCGCACCAGCACTCTGTCTTGACCACTGGGCCACAGGCAGGACACAGACATCCACACTGGGGACCCACCCAGCCATGCAGAGGAGACAGCTTCTGACCAGGAGTTGTGCTGACCTTTCATTTTTGTTTGAGGTGTAATTTACCCCCACCCTACAACCTTGATTTTGAGAAGTGTCAAACCTTCAGAGAAGCTACACCGTCAGTACACGTTGTGTGCTGCTTCTGTGTGTCCTCACACACCTGGGGCTGCAGCCATGCTCCCCCCCCAGCTGTGGCTGAGGGAGTCCTTCATGGGTCACCCTATAAATGCAGACCCTGTCCACCACTGCTGAGCTTGGGCACAGGAGGGGGCCCTGCCCCCAGCTGCAGCTGAGCTCAGCCTTAAAGGCTCCGAGCTGGCAGCCAGGGCCTGCCGTGACCCCCCTGGGCCATGTGGGAGTTCACCCTGGGCACCACCTGATCTGCATGGTAGTGAGCCCAGGGACAGTCTCTGACCACACGCCAGTGGGGCCTTGCTCCCAGGGACGGCCGCAGGGTGGGCACCATGGCGAGGAGAGTACTGCACCAGGCTGTTGCCTGTTTCCTCCTGAAAACGCCTGTCTTGCCTCAGAGCAGGCCTGCCACAGAGCATTTTAAGGAAGCAGCAGGTATCTGCTGTGCCTAAATCGTGCCCCGCTAGGAGTGTTTTCACCTTTGGTGTTACTCGTTTTTAGTGTCTTCACTCCCTGTGGAGTTTGAGTGTCCTGGTGGAAATCAGGTGGGCGTGTGGAGCCCTTGGCGCCGATGGGAAGGGCTGTGCGGGAACCAGCCTGGCCATTTTGATCCAGGGGCTTTTTTCTTTCTTTAAATGAGAAGGTGTCGCTCTCTCACCCAGGCTGGAGTGCAGTGGCACGACCATAGCACCGCAGCCTCGAACTCCTGGGCGCAAATGATCCTCCCACCTTGGCCTCCCGAGTAGCCGGGAATACAGGTGTGAGCCACCACGCCTGGCTCCAGGCAGCTCTTTCTGTGGCCTCTCTTTCTCTGGAAGCGCTGGGGCACGGTCCCACTTCACTGTCGGTGCCGCCTCCTCTGACACAGCGTGCAGCCCTGCCTCCTCCTCAGAGACCTGGGATTTGCTGCTGACCCCACGTCGTGTGGCCTCAGGGCCGTGGCTGGCAGTGAGTAGGGTTCCGGTGTCAATGACACCAGGACAGCTGTGTCTGAGTGCCTGGCCCCGCGGTGCGGTGTGTGTGTTTGCACAGGTGCTCTGGCATGCAGGGCAGCCAGGTGAGCAGGGGCCAGCTCTCTCCAGTTGGCTGGTCGTGTTCATGTTGCCCGAGGGAATGTCCTGCTTGCTGGTGGGTCTGAGCCCAGGGCCCTGCTGGCGGTGTTTGTGGTGGTGGTGTGAACTCTGGCACTGCAGGCCTCGATGTGTGCCCGTGGTCTCGCCAAGTGGTCAAGGTGGTTTCTGAGGTTGAGGCCCATTAACGTCCTGTCTGAGAGACTGAGGTTGAGAGTTCACTGCTTGTTAAAAATGAAAGTCAGGTTGAGGGAGGTTTAGGGTTGCATGGCACCCAGTGGGCCCCTCCTAATCCTTGGGTACAGGTCCTTTAGGACAGTCGCCCAAACAACGCCTGGGTCTATAATGGCCCGTTATGGGTCAGCCCTGGACTGGGAGGCCTCTGGTGTGCCCTCAGGCACAAGGCGAGGGGAGAGGGAGCTGGATTCAGATCAGAGGGTGGTTTGCTCCGTGACCTTACACAAGGGCACCTGCCCTCTCTTCCTCAGGCTGCTCCTCTCTGCCCAAAGAGGAGCAGGTCCCACTTGTACCACAGGGTGTAGACACCTCAGGCCGCCTGAGTGAGCGTGTGTCGGTTCTTCAGTAGCTCCCTCTGGCGTGGGCCCCCTGCACGGTGGAGGAGTGGCCAGCTGTGTCCCCTGTGTGCCTGCAGCCACCCTCAGGCACAGGAGTTTCCAGGTTGGTGTCTGTTGTCCGTGGACAGGGCTTAGAGCAGAAGTGCTTCGCCGGCAAGCGCTCCAGGCCCTCTCATGGTGCTTATGCTGCTGTTCAACTAAGTGGGCTTTGGAGAACGCAGGCCACTGACGCAAAGCACTGGCCGGGTGTGGCCGACTCGCGGCGGCGCCTCTCCAACCTCTGCACTGCTCTGTGGGGCCACTTGTGTTCTAGGTGCTGCTCTGGCCCTGTCTGGGGCTTCTCCCCTCCGACCTCCACACAGGTGTGGGAGCAGGGGCTGCCCACACAGGTGACCGTGCGCAGGGGGCAGAGCCGTGGGCTGTGCAGTGCCCTTCGTGCGCTCGTGGGAGTCTCTTGTAGAGTCAGGATGCTGGGGGATTGGAGACAGGGCTGGTCTCCCTGACGGCGTGAGGACTGGAGGGGCCGTCACAGAGTGGCCGTCCAGGGCATGAGCACACAGCCTGGGGCTCCCAGCGGAGGGCTGTGGGCGGGCGCTGGCCTCCCTTGCTTAACACTGCGTTTCTTCTCTCCTGCTGCCACCTTCTAGGGCTCATCCGTTCTCACACTCCTTTAGGTAAGACTGAGCCTGGACGTGTCTGTGGAATGTTCTCTCTGAGTCAGGGCAGGGGGGACTCGGGCAGGGCCCTGCGGGAGGCTGCGCAGGCAGGAGGTGGGTAAGAATGGTGACGAAACTTGCACCTCAGGGAACGAAGCCTCAGCTTCTCTCGTGCTCAGCCAGCAGCGTGATCGATGCAGAGACGCCTCCCTCTGAGTGCTTCACACCTGGGCACATGCAGGCCCCTGCTTCTGGGTCAGCGCCTCGTGCAACGTGGGCATCTCGCTGTCCACACTTGAGTTTGTTCCTAAGAAGCAGCATTTTGACTTGGAAGGGCTGTGCTGACCCCCTCACTGCTGTTCTTTCGTCCGCTGGTCCTGTTCCCTTGTTTTCCTGAGAAGCACACCTGTCCCCTTGGGTTGAGCTTTGTCTCATTTATCACCTGAGAACCCTTAGGTCTTCCTCCCAAGTGGTCCTTGTCCTTATGCTAACTAAAGCGTGCTCTCTCGTTGGAGCTCCGAGGTCTAGAGCCAAATCCAGAACAATCTGATTTCAGATGTTTTTACTTGACTTGGTTGTTTCTCTTTTACTAAAAGGTCATTTGACTTGCTGTACAGTCAAGTAAGGGCACCCGAAGGCCGTGTGTGCCACGTGTTATGTGAGAGCCCAGGCCTAGGTCTCCTCACAGTCCCCTCTGTCAGGCTCCCCGCCCCCAGTGCCACACTGCTGGGTGGCTTTGGATGCTCTCCGAGGACTGGGCAGTGGGGAGAGGAGGCTGGGGACAGTTTTCCTTCTGGGGCATCGAGTGGAGGAGCAGGCAGCTCGCTCTAGCTGTGCCGGGAGCAGCGGGTCCCGCGAGGCTGGGTTACTCGTGAACTGTCTGACGCGCCCTTTCTGGTCTTGCCCTTGGTGTTAACTCTCGCTTCCTCCTCTGCTTCTGCCATGCTTCCAAGCAGCAGCTACTCCATCCGCCACTCGATAAGTATGCCGGCCATGAGGTAACGTATGCCTCCCCCCGTGGCACCAGAGCTGGGGTGTCTCTGGGTGGGGGCTGGGTCACACCTTTCCATTCTTGTGCCCCCCCCATCGGATGAGGTTGGGAAAGATCCCCGAGGCTGACGAGGGGGAGTTGATGGGGGTGGGACTCTTATTCTGCGGCCTCCAGAGGAAACCCTTCTGCCAAAGTGGGCCCTGTCCTGAACTTTCCAAGTCCTGGCGGCCTGCTAGGTCAGGCCGGGGAGCGGGTACAGGGGCTCGCACGTGGGCACTGGCCCCTGCTGCCGCGGGCTGTCGCTTGGAGGGTTGAATGTCTCAGAGCCTTTGTGGAAACCCCCAGAGCTGTGGTCTGTTGTTCCTGTGCCTGCTGGGTCAGGCGTAGCCCGACTCTCAGGAGAGCCCTGTTCCTGTTATGGAGACTGGTTGGGTGTCGTCAGGGCCTCGGGGCAGGAAGGGGATCTGGCTGTGTGAGAGAGACCGAGGGATGGGGCTGGTCCGCCGTCTCCTCCTCTGCCTCCTCCCCACTCAGCTGTCCCAGCTTTGTCCTTGGTTTTCCTTTCGCTTAACTGAGACGTGTGTGAGGAACTCCAGGACTTTTCATAACCCCGGTACGGAAGAGCCAAGGGTGTGCACTCAGGGTGCAGAGGTGTGCTGGGCACCCCACCCACTGCACAGTCCAGGGGCTCACGGTTCCCCCGTGTGATGTCTGGGCCTGCCCCTGTGGTTGGTGGGCGTGGCTGACCTCACTTCCCACCTGGGGAGCCTCTTTAGTGACCCTGGTTGGACCCTCTTGCAAGGGGCACCCCTGTTTTGGTGTGTTGTGTCTATGCACTGAGATTATGGGGTGCTGTTAGGGAGCCCTCTGGCCCCAACCCTGACCCTTCAGGTCTCGGAGGGCAGCACGACAATTTGCTTTCTACACCAGTGTCTCTTCCTTCTCTCTAAAGGAACTCTGCAACTTTCAAGTCATTCGAAGACCGAGTTGGGACCATAAAGGTAATTGTACCTGGACGATCTGATTCTCTTGATGGGGTGTGTGACCTGTCACTCAAATCAACTTCTTATTCGTGATTGAATCACTGTAGACTCACATGCAGTTGTAGGAAGTATTAGGTTGGTGCAAAAGTAATTGCAGTTTTGGACTGAATTTTAAATCATTATAACTAGGCTCAAACACATCTTTATTAATCAAAATAGGAGCCATTACAATCAACACATTTTTGCCAACGAGAAATAAGTTTGTTTATTCCCGTAGTGTAAAAATCCGTGCTCCGGGATTCCATGAACTCTTGGAAAGCATTTTCTGCATCCTGCTGGTTGTGGAAGCGTTTTCCCTGCAAAAAGTTGTAGAGATGCTTGAAAGAGTGGTAGTCGGTTGGCGAGAGGTCAGGTGAACATGGCGGATGAGGCAAAACTTCGTAGCCCAATTCTTCAACTTTCGAAGCGTTGGCTGTTTGACCTGTGGTCAGGCATTGTCGTGGAGAAGAATTGGGCCCTTTCTGTTGACCAATGCCGGCTGCAGGCGGTGCAGTTTTCGGTGCATCTCATCAATTTGCTGAGCACACTTCTCAGATGTGACGGTTTCGCCAGTCTCAGAAAGCTGTAGTGGATCAGACCGGCAGCAGACCAGCAAACAGTGACCATGACCATTTTTTTGGTGCAAGTTTGGCTTTGGGAAGTGCTTTGGAGCTTCCTCTTGGTCCAACCACTGAGCTAGTCGTCGCCAGTTGTCATATAAAATCCAGTTTCCGTGGCATGTCACAATCCGGTTGGGAAATGGTTCGTTTTTGTTGGAACAATAAGAGAAGACACTTCAAAATGATGATTTTTTTGATTTTCAGTTGGCTCATGAGGCACCCACTCATCCAGCTTTTTCACCTTTCCAATTTGCTTCAACTGTTGAACGACTAGAATGGTCGATGTCAAGTTTTTTGGCAACTTCTCGTGTGGTTGTAAGAGGATCAGGTTCGACGATGGCTCTCAGTTGGTCGTGGTCAACTTCCGATGGCCACTGCGCTCCTCAT